ATATATATGTATTTATATTTGTATGAAAGAAGGCGGCTATCAGCGCCGCTGCGGGGTGCGATTCGGTTTATATTTAAATCTCGGCAGGGCCTCGGGGACGCCGATCAAGAGATACGAAGTCTCATTTTATACGCGGAAGCGGTATGAAAAATTGTAGCGTGGAGTCGGGTCCATTACTCGCGCGTGTGCTGCCCATTCCTTGCTGCTGGTTTTTCACTGCTGCTGCGCTTTTCATTATTTCGCCGGGGATTTAATAACCCCGGGGGATACACAAACCCTGTGTGTCCCTGCTTGGAATTAATGTTTCCATAAAGCCTAGCGAAAGGCCACCCGCCCGCCGAACCCCGTTTTCATCCTGTCGCGAGGAGCAAGAAGGGTTCGGGTTCCGGTTTCATGTCAGTCAGTCAGTCAGTCAGTCACCGGCCCTTTTCTGTTGACTCGCTTAATTCCAGCTTTTGACAATGAGGAAGGAATATTAAAAAAAAAAACAATCGTCAAACTCAGGATGAAATGTTGAGCTGTTGTCGGGAAACGATACGTGACATGGGTACTTTTTGCCAGAGTTTGAATGAATATTCAAGAGCTTTTAATTGTTTGGTTCCTGTTTCCCGTTCTCATTCCCGGTTTTTTGCTTTCATTCCTAATTTCCATCTCGACTGAGAATGAGTTGTTCACATGCTGTAGGCGAATATAGACATTTTTAAAGCGGTTCTTGTTTGAGTACAGCTGTGCATAACTCTAATTGTTGATGTGATTTTTAGTTATGGATTAGGAAATTTTCCGGTTTCACATCACCAGCCCGTTTTCCGAGAAAAAATTAGGAGCTGTGAAAATCATGAAGCTTTTTTTTTGAATTCTAACGATTTAAAATTTAAAAATCAAAGAAATTATTAGTTCATCCCTGTAAGCAATAAATTGTGTCTGTAATATCATTTTTCATTCGCAAGATGTTTCTCAATGAAATTTCTTCGTGGAGCCCCCACAAGATTGCAGTATGCATTCTGCCATATTTTGATAAACATTTAAAAGTAAACTGTTCAATTTTTAATGCTGATACAATCACTTGATTTCCGTATATGACCCATTTTAAAAATCTCAAAGAAAATACTGGTTTTCTAATCGAAGACATCAACAAACACGAAAACGGCTTTTTAAAAATAATTTCGGAAAAATTGCACTTATTTTTATATTAAATTTTAAAAGCGAAACAAGGTGCTAAAATGGAACAGGCCTTGAAAATAATAGACTAAAGAGGCAACCAGCGATTAAAAAGGGTTGATTTGAATAATCCTTTTACACCACTTCCCACCGAAAATATCTCTGAAAACGTTTTCTTAAAGAAGGAACTTTGATGGGGGTCCATGAATACTGTATTATGAAGAGGAAAACTCTGAAAACAATCTAGAATTGCAACTGATGGCAATGATCAGAGTACTCCAGTACTAAATCAATTGTGCCTTGTACTTTCCTTTTTTCATTACCAAGGCACGATATTCTGGTTTATTGTGCTTTCAAAGCTAAAGGACCCTATTAATACTCCAACATTTTTCAAGGGAATCAGAAAACAGTGAGACAATGGTTTACGCTATAGACGTGAATTGTAGGAATAAAACAAAAGAGGCAGATATGCATTTGAATACTGCAAGAAATTCCTAATGATATAGAGTAGAAAAAAACTGATATGCAATAAAACCTGTGAAGATATCTGCTTCTTTTCATTTTTTTTAATGAAGAAAATTAAGCTAACTATAGCTTGATTGCACCCGGTCGCTTCCATGTTGCATCCAAGTTCCTCAATTCCAAGTATAAAGAATTAGGAAACTTCTGAAAATGATCCCAGAAATCACAGATGTTGCAATACAGTCAGAATCTATTCAGAGAAGAATCCTATTTAAAAGACGTGATTTTTCGAAGTCCGCCTGCAATGTACCATATATAACGCATTTTTTGGCTTTAAAATAGTGTTTTCTAGGTCATGAAGACTTCGATGAAAACAAAATTCGAATTGTAATTTCAAAAATGTGGATTTAAAGAAAATCAGTACTCCAGCAGCACATTGCTTGCTCTTCGCTCGCACTCACCTTCTTCACATTATTACTCTCAGAATATGGTATAAGCTATTTTTCGACAGTTCTATTTTTTTTTAACGTTACCAAACATAATCTCGCAGCATATGATATGATTGTATAATAATCTCCCCAAGGGTGAACAGTAGTCAGAAACAGTGATTACAAGAGCCAGCTGTGCGATTCTTCTTCACCACGAGGCCACGCGCCGCCTCCACTCACATTCCCCAGATACTATCTCCTCTCTTTTATGACGGTTTCTGATCACACCGGGGGCTTTAATGACTGTGCAACACCCTCGCATTAACATTAAAATATTCAGCGAGGCAGCAGCAACAAAAAAAAACAAATAAATACGAAACAAAAAAAGACACAACGACCTGAAGCGCCAGACGAGAAAGAAGCGAGAACAACTAACTTGACCCCTTTGCTGTAATCACACCCGGATTGCATGCAAATCGGGCGCGAAATCGAACGCATTTGAATACTGATGGGAGAGGCGGCTTTTTCGCGAAAAGCGATTTGCATGTTGGGCGGAGGAACGAGGAAAAAAACAAATCCGAACAACATGCCGTTTTTCAGGAAAGCTGTCATCTTGTGGCTCAAGATGCAACAGTTTTGATGTTCAATTAAGAAAACAGCGAAGAAATTTCGCCCGAAGAATTCTGCAGGCATAAAACCGGGGAAGAGGAGGAAAAAACACGGTTTGATACTGGATCATTTCTGCTCCCGCAAACTTATTTCTTCCTGGTATAGGGCTTTAGGGCTTCGGATTTCTTTTTTTTCTCCAACCCGCGGAATAAATCACTGCCGTTGATGATCCACCGCCGATATTTCAACGAGGGGATCTCCGAGGATCCCTAGGATCCCCTGGAAAACTCCAGCTTTCCACTCCAGTTAATCCCTTCTGCCTCTTTCCTTCCCCCTCTTTCTCTGTGCAGTTTCCAGTCCGAAAGGTTTTTCTTCACGCTCGCAGCTCCTTTTCACTCGTATCCCCGGAAACTTTAACAAAAAGTCCGCTCGGAGTTTTATTTCTTTTCTTTTGAAAAATTGCCCAGAAACCCCGGGATTTTTTCTCTCCCCGAGGACGAACCATTTTTTTCTGCGGTTGGGTTGACGAGGAATTAATGGCACTCCGGGGGAACACATAATGACTCTTGGCACAAGATGACGCTCTGATCATTACGCTGTGGTTTTTTAACATGCCCTTTTGAAAAGAGAACACCTCACATTTCGTCGAGACGAAACCGTGAATATTTCACCACCCNACAAAATTCGAATTGTAATTTCAAAAATGTGGATTTAAAGAAAATCAGTACTCCAGCAGCACATTGCTTGCTCTTCGCTCGCACTCACCTTCTTCACATTATTACTCTCAGAATATGGTATAAGCTATTTTTCGACAGTTCTATTTTTTTTTAACGTTACCAAACATAATCTCGCAGCATATGATATGATTGTATAATAATCTCCCCAAGGGTGAACAGTAGTCAGAAACAGTGATTACAAGAGCCAGCTGTGCGATTCTTCTTCACCACGAGGCCACGCGCCGCCTCCACTCACATTCCCCAGATACTATCTCCTCTCTTTTATGACGGTTTCTGATCACACCGGGGGCTTTAATGACTGTGCAACACCCTCGCATTAACATTAAAATATTCAGCGAGGCAGCAGCAACAAAAAAAAACAAATAAATACGAAACAAAAAAAGACACAACGACCTGAAGCGCCAGACGAGAAAGAAGCGAGAACAACTAACTTGACCCCTTTGCTGTAATCACACCCGGATTGCATGCAAATCGGGCGCGAAATCGAACGCATTTGAATACTGATGGGAGAGGCGGCTTTTTCGCGAAAAGCGATTTGCATGTTGGGCGGAGGAACGAGGAAAAAAACAAATCCGAACAACATGCCGTTTTTCAGGAAAGCTGTCATCTTGTGGCTCAAGATGCAACAGTTTTGATGTTCAATTAAGAAAACAGCGAAGAAATTTCGCCCGAAGAATTCTGCAGGCATAAAACCGGGGAAGAGGAGGAAAAAACACGGTTTGATACTGGATCATTTCTGCTCCCGCAAACTTATTTCTTCCTGGTATAGGGCTTTAGGGCTTCGGATTTCTTTTTTTTCTCCAACCCGCGGAATAAATCACTGCCGTTGATGATCCACCG